GGAGAGAGAAATATCTGCCTCTACCTAGGATCGAACTCACAGCCCTCCTGAGGGTGAGGCGAGAGCTCCACTTCTAGGCCACCGCACCCCTCCAACACTACCTGTATATGGAGATTCAAAAGGGCAGGTCCCTTTTGGGGTAAACAGACACTTAAGGCTGCCATCGATAACAGGAGAAAACCCAACTTTGGTTTAACGCACATTTACATTTCATTCAACAACTGTAGGTACAGAACTGACAGGTGTTCTCGTTACTTCACCACCCAGCCTCAGCCTCACGCTCCCAAATGGTTTTCGAGGCGTCTCTCTTTCTCTCTCTGAACCTCTCCAAGGTTGCCAGCAGATTTTGCAATTCTTAATGTGATATGAATAGACATTTTCTGCATGTATTTAATAATGTCCTCCGGGCATCTGGGAGCCGTGGCAGCCCAGTTGATGCAGCCTTCGCCTGACATTAAGAAGCCTGAATGGTATTTCCTTCCTGCAGGAAAGTAAGCCCAGAATTTTCCCTCCACCCCCCAGCCCCCCCACTACCGACAGCTACCCCGCCACAATGCAAAACAACAAATATTTCCAGATTAATAAAGGGGCTCCTCGACTTAACGAACCACAACTGAGCCGTTGCTAAGGGAGGCCTTCACAAAGTGAGTTTTGCCACCCTATTGCGACTTTTCCCGCCACGTTTCTTCAATTCTTAAAATTAGTCGCTCGGTCGTTAAGGGAATCCTGGCTTCCCCCGTTGACTTTGCTTTTTTGGAGATGGCCTTTATTTTTAAGTTTTGTCCGTTGCTGCTTTATCGGGGCGTTCTCTCCCTCCGTTTTTAAACTCCCTTCCTTCCTTCTCCTTTATCCTGGGCATAGCCACGGTCGAGTTCGTAGCCTTCCCTGATTTAAAATCTGGTATTTTTTTTTAATTCTGGAACAAGCCGCTCTGTTCTTCAGCGATTCAAACCTGCTGGCAGATTCTCTTTCTAAAATTTAAAAGAACTTGGACAATTTTTTTTTTTAAAAATCGCAACTTCAGCTTCCTTGGCTGCCGAAGCCATCGCTACCTTCCTCCCCTCCTTGTTCTGTGTTTCTGGGTATTGAGCAAACTCCTCTTCAAACATTACATGACAGCAACATGTAAGCAACCTTCAGAGCCACCTTCTGTTGGCGCGAGCAGATGCCTGTGGCTTGCAAACCGTAGGTGCTGTCGACTGCCCACATGTCTCCTCCGTGACCACCTGTCTCGCCTCGGAAAGGAGCTCAGGGTTCTTCGAAGCAGCCTGCCGTACGGGAGACCAAGAGAGGCTGTTTTGAAAAGAAATGGAGCCATTAGGGTTGGGGCTAGGGGCACGGTGCCTTTTTTGTGCTTGCCGACTGTCAAAATTGGGAAGCCCCCTTTTGTGTGTGTGTGTGTGTGTGTGTGTTTTGCAAGGGGGGGCATCTTAACAGGCGGCAGGCAGACAGGTGGAGCTGGGAAACCTGTAGGGCTCCAGTTGCTGAATTGTTTTCATCCAGCATCCTCCCACTGTCGGGGGGTGAGGGCTGAAAATTGGGAGTTAGAACAGCTTGGAGTGACCCATTTTTCTGGCGGGGTGCAATGAAAGAAGAGAGAGGTATAGGACCGGGGCAAATTCAGAGTGGCTAAAATGCAAGAAACTTAAGTGGGTGGATTGCATTGCATTGCATGGATGGATGGATTGGGTGGGTGGGTGGATTGGATTGGGTGGATGGATGGATGAGTGGGTAGGCTCAAAATAGAATAGAATAGAATTCTTTTATTGGCCAAGTGTGATTGGACACATAAGGAATTTGTCTTGGTGCAAATGCTCTCTGTGTACATAAAAGTAAAGATACATTTGTCAAGAGTCAAGAATGATCAGGTACAACACTTAATAATAGTCATAGGGTACAATAAGCAATCAAATCCTACTAGGAAACAGTCTATGTATAAATTGTAAGGATACAAGGGACAAAGTTACAGTCATACAGTCACAAGTGGGAGGGGATGGGTGATAAGGAGGGATGAGAAGAAGAATCGTAATAATACAGTCTTACTAAGTAGTTTGACAGTGTTGAGGGAATTATTTGTTTAGCAGAGTGATGGCGTTCGGGGAAAAACTGTCCTTGTGTCTAGTTGTTCTGGTGTGCAGGGCTTTATAGCGTCGTTTTGAGGGAAGGAGTTGAAACAGTTGATGTCCGGGATGTGAGGGGTCTGTAGATATTTTCACAGCCCTTTTTTTGACTCGTGCAGTAGACAGATCCTCAACTGAAGGCAGGTTGGTGGTAATTGTTTTTTCTGCAGTCCTAATTATCCTGTGAAGTCTCCAAACAGCCCAACAGGGTACAAAATGGGCAGTACAGATAATCCTCGACTTATAGCCATTCATTTAGGGGATGTTACAAAGGTTGCAACTGTGAAAAGTGGCCGTAAGTCACTTTTTTTCAGCACCATCGTAACTTGGAAGGCTCACTAAGTGAACTGTTGTAAGTCAAGGACTATCTGTACTTAACACAGTTCCTTCACTAGCTCTCTCCATTCCTTCCTCTCCTCGCGAACCATTCTTGCTTCCACTTCGCAGCCAGGGCCTCAACCGTGATCGAAGGAAAACCCCGTCTTTTATTTCCTTCCCTCTTGATGTCTTTCTCAAGTTTTTATCAGCCACCCCAATCATCGGGGCTTTGGGTGGTGGTGGGATGAAACCTTTTAGATGGAAGCGTAAGAAATCCCATCCACCCCCGGCAAGATTTTGATGGCTTGCAATTTGGGGGTGGAAAAAAGCAAACTTTCTCTGCAGATTCCCGGTGGATTATTTTGCGTCTGATCTCGATCCAGTTCTCTTAAATACCCATTGAAAGCAATTGCCACCGGAAAAAGCTTGGTGAAGTTTCAGCATAATTGCCGGCCGGCAAAAGTCATCCTTGTTGTGAAGGGTTTGGCTGGAGATCTTGGCTAATG